ACCCCCCCCCCCCGCGGGGGGGGGGTGGGGGGGGGGGGGGGGGGGGGGGGGGGGGGGAGGCTTGCCATCATGACTACTGGTGGAAACAACGGCTTAAGGTTGGCATTCTCATCTAGTGGCATGGCTTAAGGCGTTGACATATGAAATTATCATTTAAGTTCTAGGTCTGCCCGTTGACATAATATTCCATAATATCCTCCAATTCATTTGTAGAACTTAGAGCTGAGGAGGCTCCTCTTTACTCTAAAACATCCTTTTCATCTCTAGCAGTGGATGTAGTTGCTCATCATACTGAATGCTAGTGTGGATCTGGTGTGTCCTCTTTTCATTTTTAAGCACATATTCTCCTTTCATTTTCAATAATAAAGTAGGGGAATATTATCCAGAGTATTTAGAATAGTAATTTTTGCTTTCAGCTTGGTGGAGGATACGTAATCATCTGCTAAGGTAAAGTGGATTATCCTGAAAAGATAGGAAACGCTACAATTTCCCAGTTTCCTTGGCAAACGAATGGAATGTTGGCTTAAGCTGTCAGGTAGTTCGAATGAGAACATAGTTTTGGTTAGTTTGAAAATGAAAAACATTTGGGAAACAAAATAAAAATAGAAAGGAATAATTGAAATTTGGTATTCCAATTTCCAAAGCATTGGATTTTGATTCCAAAACAAATGGAAACATATAAAAATATCCCAAATCATGACATTAAACTACTGATTTGGCCTGGTTTCCATTGAAACTGAAACATTTCAGCTGGTTTATACAAAATGAAACAAAATTTTATCTTTCTACAATCCTTGCCAATGCACGTGGTTTGACCGATGATGGCAGACATCTTGAGTTTATGTGTAGTGTCTAGTGTGTAGTTTCTCAACAATGTGGGCTTAAGAATAAATACAATTGCAGCAATCAGGTGATGCTTTGCCTACTATATAAGCAATGCCATGCCCAATTTGTAATAAGCCCTTCAATTTTGTAGGAGGATTTTACCCATTTGTTGTTTAAGCATTATCTTAGATAACATTAAACAGACGAGTTTGAAGGTAGAGAAGTGAATTGACATCCACAAAACAAAATTGCAGGGGTATTTGACAGAGATTTGAAGAAAAGGGTTACAATAAGAAGATAGATAGATACTCATGCCACTATCAAAACAAACAAAAACAAAAAATACAGAGAACCAAATCCAAGCCATTTCTTACTGCACGTTGGGTACAAAAGAAAGCTATGTAGCTTTCTTCCCCCGTTTTCACCTCCTAACTAGCACTTCTCCATACCACAGTCCCCATTAACACGAGTCTTCATTCGCAGATCAGCTTTAGGGTTTTTTGGCTTTGTACCAAACTGCACAAATCAAATATATCACAAAGTTTATGACTCCCAACACAGCCAGAAGTCCATAGAAACAATCAAGCCTCCCATGGTTTATATTGTCAGCCAGCCAGCCTTCCCCATCTTCACTTCCGGTCACCTTCTTCACGACTGAGACCAAGAAGCTGCTGACAAAGAAACCAAGAGAGAGAGTGGTGAGGAAGAGACCAGTGCTCATGGTTCTCATTCCTTTGGGTGATTGGGTTATGAAGAAATCTAGCTGGCCTGTGTATATGAAGGCTTCCCCAGCACCCACCAGAATGAACTGTGGGATCAGAAGAAAGACAGATATGGGCAGAGTTGAGGTGGTGATGGTGCCGCTCACTGCCGAGGCTTTTCCCACCGAGAGTCTTTTGGTCTCGGCTAACGCTGCTGCTGCCATTCCTATTGTTGAGAGGCCGAGGCCTATGGCAATTCTTTGTAGATTGGTGAAGCCTGTAATAGAGACATGTAAATCATGTTTAGGTTCATGTATTATGTGTAAGCCTAATTAAAAGAGCCACAGCTTTTAGGGTTTTTCTATATGATTAGGTTTAGATTTCCAACTTAGACAATATCTGGTGTTGTCTTGTATTCAAGTCGTATTGTTTTGAGTTTGCACTGAATATTAGTTAATCCTAATCTACTCATCTAATTGTTTTTGCGATTCAAACCTTTGAAAGAAAAGGTGTATCAGTTATACCTGGTTTTCCTTTCCAGTTCTTCCATAGAGGCATGATCAAACGGTCATAAACTGCCAGAGTAATCAGGATGGCAGCCACAAAGAAAACAGTGAGAGACCCAGCTGGGATTTGGAAATCTCCAAGTGATCTTTTCATGGTACTTGCTTGCTCAACTGAGAAGGTGATCATCTGAGCATATGTGGTCCAAAACAAAATGGTGGTGGCCCATATTGGTAGTAATCTAGCCATCATTTTCACTTCCTCCACCCTTGTTACTGAGCATAGCCTCCATGGATTTGGAGTTGAACAATCCTTGTTCTCAAAATCTCCTTCTGCAACAATGGCTGCCTTGTCCAAGCACCTACAGCAATAGCACAACGATTCCGAGTTATAGCCAAATTCTAAAATGTCAGATTAATTTTTATTTTTTACTGTTGTGTTAGTGCAGGCTTTTTCATTTCTTAAACTTGGTGTTGGTTTTGCCGAACTGAGCTCAGTTGTCAAGATTATAGTCTTTTTTAAATTTGGCTCAATAAAAGCGAGTTGAAATCAATTCAAAACTAAGCTCAATTTCTCAGAAAAAAATTCAAAAATTAAACACTCGAACATAATAATCAATCATGAAGTAATCGGTTTCTAAACAAAAAACTTCTAAATCTGTATAATTAATTATATAAAAAATCCTAGAAATTTAAATTTCACGAAATCCTATTGGAGAACAGAGGGATAAAGAAATATACATGATCTAGAGCTTTTGGGAGAAAGTTTTGAAATGTTCATCTTTTAGATAGAAGTTTTAAGCAAAAAAGAATTATTCATTGAGCGAAATCTATTTGAGCCAAGCCAAGGTGAGCTGAGCAGCCTCAAGCTGAACCACGCGTTCGACTCGTTTAAAAAACATATTTAAAAGTCTGGTCAAAATTCAGTTTATTTTGTAATTCAAATAAGTCCAAAATTGTTGCAATCTTGGCTCAAATTTGAGCTGCTTGTGTCGTTTAACAACCTATTGGTGAGATATGTAATCTACTAGCTATTGCAAGTTGAAAATTTAGATTAGGGTTCGGTAGTTGACCGTTATGCTAATTTAGCTAGATTCGTTCCTGAAATAAGTAATGGACGCAATCATAAGCTCTTGATCCCACCAGTGAACACCAATCGGGGTGATCTCTGGAGATATTATTACTCCACCAGATAGTATAAATAGGCTTCTTGCAGATATTGTTACTCGCTCTAACCTAATTATCTACAAAGATAGCTTACCGGAACTGATCGGTGTGTTGGATTCTTGATGCCTCTGGAGAACTCTCATACAGTAATCCAATCTCATAAGGAAGTTCCATTTGCCTCTTTTTCACAGCAGCTACAATAACCTGAAAAATATGAACTATAGGACTTCCAGAGCTCTTCTTATATCTGTATCTCTTAGTCCCATACATGAACACCATAATTGCCACAAACATTGAAACTGAACAAATCCCATAAGCCCAGCTTCTGCCCACTTCATCCTGTATGTAAACCAGCACAGTAACGGCTGTCAACGTTCCGATGCTGATGAAGAAGACGAACCTGTTGAAGAAATAGGCCATCTGGGATTTTTCTTTCTCATCTTTTTCATCGAATTGATCGGTTCCAAACCCAGAGACACTGGATTTTAGGCCACCAGTGCCTAGTGAAATTAGGTACAAGGCCATGTAGAGAATTCCCATTTGGAATTCATTGGCTTGTTTGCAATTGTTGGAGAGAGCAGTGTGGCAAGGTGGTGGTCGTAGCTGTGGGAGCTTGGTGGTTATTGCTAGCATGCAAGTGCCCTGAAGTACCATCGTAATCAGAATCAAACACCAAAAACCAAAAAAAATTGCTAGAAAAATGTGAAAAAATAAGAATATAATGTTTTGGAAGAAGAGTGAATCATATTATCCACATGGTTGTCCATGGGCCGGGCTAGATTGATCGACCCAAATCCCGGACCAAAATAGTGGCATGTAGCCCAAAAAAAATGCCCACATGGCTCAATCCTGTTTGGTCCGGGGCAGGCCATGGTGCTAGTTTTTGTCAGTCCGATGGACTTGTGAAGTGAACAAAAGTTTCATAATCGAGATCTGGGCAAGAAGATTTTCTTCAACTGGTGGATCTGTAGGAGATATAGAAGGACGGCTTTAACAAAGAAGGCTGAGTCCCCCAACACCCACACACACCATTATTTATCATGGTCACATTACAAAACTCACCAGCATTTGAATCATAGCAAAGATAGCAATGGTTTTGTATCTACCCAGAAAAGAGTCTGCCAGAAAGCCTCCAAGCAAACACAAGAGAAAAGATGTCCCCATAAAGTCTGTCACAATATTGGCTGAAGTTGCACTAGGAAGGTGCATTGTTCCACCCAAGTATGTCACAAGGTTTACTGCTATACCCATTGTTGAAAGCCTCTCACAGATTTCTATCCCTACAAAATTTCAAATCAAATTTCCCTAAATTGAGTACACGCGTATATTTCAAACTACTAATTAATAAAGCAACCATGACATGAAGCACTCCAACATTCTTGAGATTGTGAGTTAAGTTTACACCTAATCTACCACTCCAGACACACGTTAGACTTTTTTTTTTTTTACCTAAAACTTATGGTAAGAAAAAAAGGGAACTGTTTCTTTTTATTACTGCTATATAGAAAAAAAAAATATATATATATATATATATAT